TTTTTAAAATAGAGAGAGGGTCTCACTATATTACCCTGGCTAGTCTCAAACTCCTAGGCTCAAGTGACCCTCCACCCTCGGCCTCCTGAAGTGTTGGGATTATAGGCGTGAGCCACAGTGCCTTGCCCTATGTAACCTTTATATCAAAGGAGAAATCAAAAGTCAAATCACAAGCCATTTGGAAATCAATACAAGGTACACAATCTATTCCACAAGCAATGGAATAGAGAGAAAGCTGTATCTATAGTCTTTAGATATTTTTAGTATTTAAGCATAAAGATAAAGTGTATTCTTAGTATGAATTGGGAGAAAACAAAACAAACAGCAATAAATTAGGGGGACTAATAAAGATAAAAGCTGAAATTAATAAAATTAAAGTAACAGAAAGGATAAACACATATATTAGCTGGTCTTTGAAAAGCACAGTAAAATAGTTTGATTAGGAAATTAATAAGGAGTAAAACAAGTTAGAAGACTGTAAGTGAGAAAAGAAACAACCAGAGGGGCAGAGGGGATGCAAAGAAGGTAACAGAGTCCGCTGAGCTCTATGGGAATGAATTTGAAAAATGAGAAGAAATGTATTTTTCCTTTGTCAAATGTAAATGTCTAAATTTAACCTGGGAAGAAATGGAACATTTGAATAGGACAGTAACACTAAAAGAGATCGAAAAATGATTAAAGATCTACTATTGAAAATTACAATGGAATCATATGAAATTAGTTGAGTTTTATGTAACTTAAAGAACATATAACTTTATCAGCATTTAAACTGTTCCAGAAAATGAAAACCTCCTGTTTCACTTATAATATAAGCATACTTTTAATGCTGAAACCTAACAGAGCACAAAAAAATCTAGAGACCAATTTAATTTTGAATACAGTTGCAAAATGTCTAAATAAAATATTAGCAGATAGAACCCATAACTGTATTTGAGGACCCAACTGTGACCAAGTAGGGTTTATTCCAAGAATATAAAAGTCAAAATTTATCAGTGCAGTTTATTACATGATGTATTTAAAGGCAGAAAATCATATGATCACATCAATAGACGCTACAAAAGCATTTAACAAAATGTACAGATACTGGTAATAAAAAGTATCAGAAGAATGGAAAGAAACCAAGGGGTTTCTTTGCCTTAGACTGGCAAAACTTGAAAGTTCAATAACTATTGCTATTCAGGAGAAAGAATACTAGTATCACTAGTTGAATGTGTGTTATAGCCTTTTTGGAAAGCAATCTGGCAAAATAGATTACAAGTAGTATCTGTTTGACCCAGAAATTCTGTTCCTTGTTCTCCTAAAGAAATAAAAGCACCCACATGTAAGGATATATATCACAAGGTTGTGTTCAGCATTACTGTTTGTGTTGGGGGAAAAATGGAGACAAATATGCCCACCAGGAGAGGAATGGTTGGATATATTACAATACATCCAAATGGTGAAATATCATGCAGCCATTATAAATGGAATTTAGGGCTATCTCAGTTGAATGAGCTATTTTTGAGTAGGAAAAGCAAGATGCAGAAAACTTGGTATGATACTAATAAAAAACAAGAAAAAGATTGTGTTTATTTGTGTCTTTAAAATCATATGTGGATAGAGAAATACAGATGCTTTTCAACTTATGACAGGGTCACATCCCAATAAACTCTCTGGAAGTTGAAAATACTTAAGTTGAAAGAAAATGCATTTAATATACCTAACCTACCAAGCATCGTATCTTAGCAAAGCCTACCTTAAACGTGTTTAGGACACTTGCATTGACCTATTATTGGGCAAAATCATCTAACACAAAGCTTATTTTATAATTGATACAGAAAGGGGGCAGGGAAGTGCTGGGTAGAGAAGGACATGGTCCCTGGCTAGGGCTCCATCCCCAGACCTGTCACAGACCTAGGTGAGGACAGGCATGCCTGCCTTCACACCCAACTGTTGTATTTCCCAAGACCACCCTGGCCCATCACATTCCCATCCTGTACCTATAAAAACCCTGAGACACACAAGTGGGTGGATGCTGAGAGGAATGCCACAGGGCAAGACCACACTGACAGATGCTGGCAGGCTGGCAGTCCAGGGGCCGGTGGAATGACATGGAGTTTGGCCAGGGCAGTCAGAGGAGAGTCCAGGCCACTGAGTTGCCTGATTCCAGCGGAAAACCATCGTCCCACTCCATGTCCCTTCTGGCTCTCCAGCCATCCCCTGAGAACTTCCACTCAAACCTTGCTGTCATTCTCTGAGCCCACGTGTGATCCCATTCTTCTGGTATACCAAGGCCATTTTCCACTATTTCAGGAAGAAATACTTGTGTTGGCTGCATTTCCAGGGATGCTACCAGAGTTCAAGGCTGTCACCTGGTCCTGCCCGGAAGAGCCATTCTTGGAGGCAGGACTTGAAGGCTTTCCTGCTGATGGAATAGGTTTGCTGGAGTTGACCTTGGCATTAGAGTAGGCATATTTTTTATTGGATATTTGAATATTGAGTATTTTCTTTGCATGCTACTGAGAAGTCTCATATAAATTTTTATAAATATGAACATTATAATCACATAACACTCTATCTTAGCATACTCAGTAATCTGATAAGAGTATTTCTGTAACAAAAGAAAGCTTTGTTTCAAATAATAGCCTCTATTGTCAAGGAAATAATTTAGATTCACATAATTATCAGCTAGAAATTGTGGCTGGCCCAACATAGAGTGTTACTGCTACTCTTCTAATGGCTGGAAGCTTGGTACAGGAAGTGGGAATGTGACCTGCTGACTGTCAAATGCTGATGTTCTAATGTGTTCTCACGTATGCATAAACACTCATGTGTCTACTCTAGCTTTCTGTGCCTCTAGATGTAATTTTGCCTGGTTATCTTCATTGGATGTTTTACTTTTTTTCTGATGTCTTTATGTATGTGTTTACATACTTTCTTTTCCTTTTTCACATGACTCCACATACCTCAATCCTTTCTCTGGCAATGGGGACAGATACTGCTGCTAACCTTACTGGGCCATCAGCTTTCTAACCTCTGGATTCAGGAGGACATTAAGGCTTGGTGGGGGTGTGGCTGCCAAGAACACATGACATGTTCCATTTGGGTGGGCCTAGGTCTGTGTGTGGCCACCAGGGGTACTGTTGTAGGAGCCTGTGTTCAGCAGGGAATGAATGGGAGCTTTCCAGGTGAACAGATCACTAGTGTACTGCCAAGGGCTAGGGACTGTCCCATAAAGGGAGCTAGGATTGGGTGTTGTGACCAGGATAGAACTTCTTCCTATTCTTTGACTGTCATCCTGAAGATGTCCTTCTCACAGGAGGAAGAAACACAAGCCTTGTGGAATTGTGAGCAGGACATGGTCATGTTTTACAGTGAGATGGGCATGTGTATCCTGAATGGGATCAGGATGAGGAATGAGGAAAATCATTACGGCACATGGAAGGAAAGGAGAGAGAAGAGTTGATGTTTGTCTGTATATCTTTTTTGTGTGTGTGTTAGGCTGGATACATAGAGATTGGTTCATGGTACCAGTTTTGAAATACAGGCATACATGCACAGTAAACTGTACTTAAAAAATCCTACCCACATTTTGGCTACCAGAGATTCTATGGACTGACTTCTTTTTGCCACTGCTACCCATTATACATTCTCATAGAATAGGAAATCAATTAAAAATTAAAGTCTTAAATTGAAATAAAGGTAATATGTATTAACAAGTCAACTATTCATGATTTTTAAAGTTATCTAAATTCAGCTACCCACTGCCTTTCTCTGTTAGTGCAGTACGATCCACAGCAAATTAAATGTCTAGCACAGCTACTCTCTGCCCTCAGAACTGTTATGGCAACTTTCTGCTATTACTGCTTGGAGGTGTGCTCAGAAATTCAAATATATTTTGATATTTCTCTAAGTCAAACATAATTTAAGGTGAATCAATACTAAAAATACCATATATATTAAAGCTAATTAAAAATAATTTGGAAATTTTCTATATTACTGCTCCTTCCATTAGTACTGAAATTGAGAACTGACTGTGCATATGAAACCAACCTTCAGCCATTTGTCCAAAGCTGGAAATGACCAGTAATAGTAATAATAGTAATGGTTAGGACTGTAGATTATATTACACTTTCCTTTTACTACAGAAAGAGTTTACGTGAAATAAAGTAGATGAGTAAGTGAATGTTGAATGTTTCTTGATAACCATGCACAAGTGATTTCTTCATTTCTAGAGACATAGTTATGCATATTTTATCTGTGTTTACTTCTCTTTCTTGGGACTTAGACTTGACTTGTTTGTAATGCTTATATTGGGTGTTACATGCCTCATTCTTCCTTTAGTGAATGTATATGCACAGCTAATTAAAAATAATTTGGAAATTTTCTAGACTGGTAGTTTTCAAGACTGGTATTGAAACAAAAAATTGAAATGGAATAGTTAAACAATAAAGACACTTATGTAACAGATTTCTTTACACTGAGAAGGTGAGAACAGTCTGCTCTACTTAAATATGCTCTCATCTCTATCAAAGCACTCTCTGAAAACACATTTTTAACATTCGTCCTTAATATTCCCTTTTGTGTATTCCTAAGCACTATTGATGGTACTTAGACACCTGGTATTTACACCAACAATACTCTGAATTAGTCTTGTATTTCTGATACATGTCCCATTCTATTTCCAGAGGCAAAAATTTGTTACAAGTTTCAGAGTGAAAATCTCTTGTATCTAGACTGAAGTATGTTCTTGAGTACATAGCTAGCTCTATACTGTCCTTTATACCCATTAGGATTCTTAACTCCTTTTTCACTATCCTGCTTGTAGACTGAAACAGCTAAGCATGGAGATAACACTTTTCTGTTCTGGGGACAAAAGCGTGTGAAAAGCTGAAGGGGATTTCACCTTCGAAGTCTATTGCTTCTAATCCTTGAAGCTCAGAAAATTCCATAAAACACTTTTCAGAAACACCTTTTCAATGAACTGTTCATTACATTAGAATCTCTCTTCTTCTTTACAGACCCTTCCTGTGGCCTTTATAAATATGCATTTGAGACAGAGTTATATGCAGAAGTTGAAAATGCCTGGAAGATTTCTGGTTTCTTTCACTGCTTTTCCTGCCTTTTTGTGTCGCTGCCAGATTTGGATGATATAATATTCAGAGGGGCACCTTAATCAAAGCCATTCTTCAACAAGACACACCTGGCAGAAAATAGCCCACGTAATTCAAGATGGCCAGTCAACCTCCCGAAGACACTGCAGAGTCTCAGGCCTCTGATGAGCTCGAGTGCAAGATCTGTTACAATCGTTACAATCTGAAACAGAGGAAACCCAAAGTGCTGGAGTGTTGTCATAGGGTTTGTGCCAAATGCCTCTATAAGATCATCGACTTTGGGGACTCCCCACAAGGTGTCATTGTCTGTCCTTTCTGCAGGTTTGAGACGTGCCTGCCAGATGATGAAGTTAGTAGTCTGCCGGATGACAACAATATCCTCGTAAACTTGACTTGTGGAGGCAAAGGGAAGAAGTGCCTGCCAGAGAACCCCACGGAGCTGTTGCTCACCCCCAAGAGGCTGGCCTCTCTGGTCAGTCCTTCTCACACGTCCTCCAACTGCTTGGTCATAACCATCATGGAGGTGCAGAGAGAGAGCTCCCCATCCCTGAGCTCCACTCCTGTGGTAGAATTTTATAGGCCTGCAAGCTTCGACTCTGTCACCACTGTGTCACACAACTGGACTGTGTGGAACTGCACATCCCTGCTGTTTCAGACATCCATCCGGGTGTTGGTGTGGTTGCTAGGTTTGCTGTACTTCAGCTCCTTACCCTTAGGAATCTACTTACTGGTGTCTAAGAAAGTCACCCTTGGGGTCGTCTTTGTCAGCCTGGTCCCTTCGAGCCTTGTTATTCTTATGGTGTATGGTTTTTGCCAGTGCGTTTGTCATGAATTTCTAGACTGTATGGCGCCTTCTTCTTAATTGGTATGCAAAATAAGAAACTGGACACATTGCCCTGTTTGAGTATGAAGTTAGATAATTTATAATTTATTTTCTTTTATGTTCTTTGTGATTAGTGTCCATGACATTAACAAAGCTCCCTTGGCCATATGTTGACTTGATTGGTTTTCCTGAAGTCTGGAAATAAAAATGTTCATTTCTACTAAAGGGTTAGCAAAATTGTATAAGCTCACCCTTCACGGAGCACTGACAGCAGTGAGTCTTCCCAGAGAAAGGGCAGGGTTTCACTCAGCACTGCCAGACAGACAGTAGGGTTGCAGTGTGTTATGCTGTAGGGAGAGTCGGGAATGAATGGATCCCTCTTTTCATAGTCATGGACATTCTATGATGGCAGTTGGACATGAGAGGAAACTTGCCTGAGACACATCTGTTACAAAGCGTGCACTCCCTCCCCGCCCATACTCCTGGTATTGGAACACCCTGGAATTGTCTTCAGGTCTTTGTTTTCTCTCTTAAGTCACTCTCTGTGGTCAGTGTTCCCACTAAGATACCTGTTCCCTCTGTGCATTCTCCCTTGCCAAGAGGAAGCTCAGTTCCATTCCCTCGGGTGGTTTCAACTGAATACCTGTTTTGCCACATTACTAAAGAGAATGAAAAGCATTGAGGAATTTGCATCACAGTGAACTTTGTGGCATAACGTGGCCATTTGTCCTCGAGACACACTCTTTCCTCCATGTCTGTTTTCCTCTCTCTCAGTCTTCTCTGAGAAGAATGGAGGAAGTGAACTTCTCATAGAGCGATTGTTCTTCATGAAACCTTCATCTGAGCCTTTCCTTCTAACATCTTAGTTTGGTTTTTTAAACCACATTGCTCAATGAGCCTTACTCGTTGTCCTGAAAAGGTTCCGTTTAAATTAGCTGCTATAAATTCATAAAAACTTTCTTTTTTTCCCATTATATCTTTTGTTCCATTAGGATTTACTTAACTGAATCTTATAACAATTCCAGGTGAACTGTGGCAATGAAAACCCAGACACAGTTAATGAGATGCTTCGCTCACAGTTTGAAGTGCTGAAGTATTTTGCTGTATGGTACTGAGTTGTATCAAAATATGATGGTTTAGGTTTATGTGCAAGACTTTGTGATGTAGTCTAGACGGAGGGGTGGGCAAGCGACATGCAAAGCGGATGCTCTACTTGAAAAGACCCTTCGAGGAAGTAAAATGGCGGGGGCAGAGTGCAGCTTACCGCGTTGCTATCTCTGTTGCCTTTTAGTGGGTTTTGGACTGGATTCAAGTTCTTACACAATTTATTTTGAATAAAAGCATAACCCAGGTGATTTCAGTTAATGAACTTCTTTTCATGATGTAGGGAAAGTTGAATGTGTATATATATTTCTGAGAAGAAATTGTTTAGCAGATTACAAGTTGGCAGACTTGTTCACAGAAACTAGGCAAAAATTTTAAAAAGCATTTTAGTCTCTAAAACCCATTACTAATGATTAACACGAAAATATTTGTAACTCTTAGAAAGGGGGCATTACTAAGACGACTTTAACTTGTTTGTGGTGAAGTCTTTGTTGTGTGATGCAGGTATAGTGCACCCATTCCAATGTCTGTATTCAGAACAAATTGACATGACTGGAGTAGCAGTTTGATTCTAATTGTAAAACTAAACTTTGGGAACTTGTATGCCCAAAGTAAGTAGGATGAAAGTACATATGGGATATGGTCCAATGAATTTAAGCCCCAAGATACAGCTAAGTACATTTATGATTTCATAAACTCTAGTTTGGATAGTATTGTGATGCAATTTCCAGAAAATTATTTGTGTTTAGAGTAAATATCATGTTTAGAAGATGTTTTGTGGTTTGGATTTATATATTTATAAGTTTTTTAAAAAATGATTGTTTTGTCTGAAATGTAACATTGAATAAACTGGTGAGTTATATAATGAGGTTTCTAGAAAGCTCTGGACATGGGTAGTATCTGTTTCGCTTATCTGTATAATGTCTACAATGATAAATTTGTGTCTCTGTGTATTGTGGGCAGTCTTTTTTCTAGTTAATTTGGCTTTAAAGAGCAGTCTTTGTATGACACCAGAAAACTCTTCATGCTATTGAATGAAAAAAAGATAATGCTTTAATATTTTATTCACTGTGATACTGTTTTGTTTGTCTATTAAACTTATTATTTTCAAATTCAGAAGTTTGATTTCTCTGACTTATGGTTAAAATTCAGTTATGACTCTGCACCTCTGTTAGCTTTAGATAACAGCAAACATGAACTTTCAGAAACATTGGTTCAGCTAATGCCTTTATCATGCTCATGTAGACTTCAGAACTTTCCAACAAAAGGGACCTAACCCATCACACTTCTAAAAGGCCTTTATAGTTTTTTTTTTTAAGCAGGGGAGAAGAATTGGGGAGACAAAATAAAAATGTTGTCTTTATAAATAAATTCTTCAGTTTTAGTTTGTTTGATTTCATTTCCAGGTTTTGCGTAACTACTCAGCAAAAGAGAATCCAATTTTGTTGGGAAATCACTTACCTTGTGTGGTCTGTGAAAAAATTTTAAATTATATGGTATCTAAATATGATCATTGATAGGCAAAGTAGAAATAATTTGGGAATATGTAGCAGGTCTATGCTTAGGATGATTAGTGAATTGACACCATATGTTAATCAAGAATAATGGTTTCATTCATTTCTGAAATGTTTATGTAAATGAGCAAAGAATCAGCTTAAAGAAAGCAGTTACCTGTATTGGTCATAACTTACAGGGTGAACTCATGCATATCTGCTGAGAGACCTGAAAGTGATGTGTATTTGCAGATTGTAAACAGATACCAGGCTTCAAAAACATCTTGAAGAAATGTCTTAGTATGTCAAACAGGTAGAGCCAAAGCCAAATGAATCCTATTATTGGTAGGCAAACTGATAGAGCCATTATAAATATGAGATCTGTAGTAGCTCATATTTGTACCTCATGGGATACAGATGAGATGCAAATGAGTTAACTTGAGAGAGTATAATGGAAGCAGCTACAATTTTATGTGTTTCTGCGTTTTTTGAGACTTGCTCTTTCTGCCTACTCTTCTTGGTAAAAAATACCTCCATTTGCCTTGATTCCTTGGAAATGCCATAGAAACACCATATTATTCCAGGGCTTTACTCAAAACCAGTGAGTCTTGGTAGGTCCCTGAAAGAGTTTAACCATTTGATCTCCAAGTTAGAGTTTTGCGTGCTTTCTACATCTTTGCCCTTTTATTAGGTTTACTTCTCTCTACTTAAATACCCTTTATGAATCTTTATTCCTTTGTGAGGAACCATAGGCTTAATATTGTGTCTTCCCTTGCACATTTACTTTTGTGTAAAAGAGATTTAAAACGTGACTAAATGTTGAAATTTGAGTAAATTCCAAGTGAGTCCTAGAGGTGATACAGATTCAGCCCAGTTCCTGGTATCATTTCAGTATGTGGTGGACTCCAAATCAGCATATACTCAGTGTACAGATATTTATGGTTCTGACATGAAGTTACTTTAAACTTATGAATAAAAGAATCAAAAATTACATCCTGTGTATACTAAGTAGGGATCTGTGTATTTTTAAAAGTGGTTAAACCTCGATTTAATTAAAACAACTGAAAAGTCACAAGCATTTTAATTAAGAGTTTATTAGATTGGCAACATATTAACACTTTGAATTGAGAGGGTTGGAATTACAAGGGAGGAAAGAATGTACTCTGACAGTAGGTGGTTTTGGATCTTGCTTTTCCTATGAAATGTAAAGAAAGTTCTTTGTACATTTACATTCACAGTCACGTTACATTTACATTCTTATTTCCTCAAATAAGAGGTCTGGCCTGAAGACATAGCTTTGGAAGTCGTTAGCAGTTCTTTCTTCTTTTTTATAGTCTGTTTTTTTTTAAAAAATTCAATTGAAATATAATTGTACATATTTATGTAGCACATAGTGGTGTTTTGATACATATATAGTGATCAGATCAAGGTAATTAGCATAGCCTTGATGTCACACATTTTTCATTTCTTTGTTGGGAACTTTCACTATCCTCCTTCTAGCTATTTAAAACTATAAAATCTATTATTGTTAACCAGGGTCATCCTACACTGCTAGAGAACACTAGAGCTTACTCCTCCCATCTAGATGTAATTCTGTATCCTTTAACAAATTTTTCGCCATCCTTCCTTTCCTCTACCCTGCCTAGCCTCTAGTATTCTTTTCTACTTTTTACTTCTAGGAGATCAACTATTTTTTTTTTCTTTTGCTTCCATATATGGGTGAGAACACGTGGTATTTAACTTTCTGTTCCTGGCTTATTTCACTTAACATAAGGTCCTCAGTTCCATCCATGTTGCCACAAATGATAGGATTTCATTATGTTTTATGTCTGAATAGTATTCCATTGCGTATTATACCATATTTTCTTTACCCATGTATCTGTTCTTAGATACCTAGGTTGATCCCATATTTGGCTATTGTGAATAGTGCTGCAGTAAACATGGGGGTGCAGACGTCTCAGCATATGGAAATACACTGATTTCTTTCCTTTGGATAAATGCTCAGTAGTGGGATTGCTGGATCACAGTTTTATTAGTAGTCTTTTGAGAAACATCCATACTATTCTCCATAGCAACTGTATATTCTCCATAGTGACTGTAGTAGTTTATATTTCCACCAACAGTGTATTTCAATAGCAGCTGCAGGTGAGGGGGTAGAGAAATGCTGAGGCCCAGAGAGGACTGAGAGGCTGAGCTCTCCAGGTTATAACTCTGAATGCTCAGTAGGGGAGCGGACACAGCTATTCTAGTAATTAGTTCACTCCTTCGTCTGTTTTTCAGAGTGATCCTGTTTGCTCAGAATAACCTCTTGACTGTTGTCTGACCCTTTCAACCCTTCTTAAAATCCCTGCCAGGCAGTGGGTTCCTCCACAGCATTCACTGTGTGTTCCCAGTCTTGATACTATTCTGGAACTTTTCTGTATGTGCACTCCCTGTTTTAAGATCTTTTTCATTCTTCATAGCATGCAGGGAATCTATCAAGTCACACAATTAATTCTGTAGTCTTTAGATAATGTTCTCAAACTTTTAGTAAGCATTATTTTTTAGTACATGTATGCTGTGCGATTCTAAACTTAATGTTTGCCCCTAATTCTTGCTAATACAATCCCAATTTGGTTAAGCCAACCATGAATTATCCCTTGGTCAATGCATATATACTGGACTAATATCAGATAATTCTGAGTTGGCTTAATGTTAAGTCCTTCTCAGTAGTTTAGAATAAGTGAAACTTTTTGTTGTTCCATGCCTACAAATAAGAGAGCTCATCTTTTAACATAGAATTTCAAAAGAGTTAGAGTAACATTTTAGCTATGAAATGTTATTTTTAACACCACATAACAGTCAATAAGTGAACGTCTGTTTTTGTTATATGCTGAGCCAAAATCGCCTGCGATCTTTTTCTCCCGTTTTCTCTGATTAATGTCATTTAGGACATCAGTGACCTAGTGATGTCATTGCCACCTTCCTCCACATCTCCTGTACACACACATGCACACACTTTATATTTCAAGAAACAAAGCTCTGTGAGAGAGAACCACGCAAGTCTTCCACTAGCTGGGGCATTATCCATTTAAGTACTATTTAAAAATGTTTTTGTGATGACTAACAACTGCATTTATGACCTCTTGTGGAACAATGGATTCAGCTGCTGGTCTCAGAGGTAATTATGCCCTCTTTTACAATATGATTATCCCTAGCTACACGATGGAATGGTTGTTGACACTGCTTCCATTTGATGTGATTTCTTTCAAGAGATTTTAGTTTGAACTGTGTATGTCTATGGTTAAATTTACTGTCATTACAAATTTTTTTGTTGGTTAGAGTTTTAAAATCATGATGGTTAGAGTTTTAAAAATTATGAAATTATTTCTAGCCTGTAATTTGACCAACTCTTAATCACCAGTTAAGAGGGAGGAAATAACATGCCCTAGTTTTGTGGGTTTTGTCTGCTGCAAGAGTGGAGAATGAAGTGGTCATTGGGAGACCAAAGAATATTAGATTCTGTCCTTGAAACCAGGGAGAAAGATGGTACTGATAATTACCTAACTTTTGGTATAGTTGGGATACTTCCTTGTCCCCTAAACCTCATGTTAAAATTGGATCCCAATGTTGGAGGTGGTGCCTAACAGGAAGTTTGAGTCACGGGGTGGATCCCTCATGAATGGTTTTGTGCCATCCTCATGCGAGTGAGTTCTTGTTCTGTTAGGTTCCCCCAGAGCTGGTTGTTAAAGGGGTCTGGCACTTCTCTCTCCCTTGCTTCCTCTCTGGCCATGTGATCTCTGCACACACAGGTGCCCCTTTGCTTTCTGTCATGAGTGGAAGCAGCCTGAGGACTCCATCAGAAGCTGAGCAGACACTGGTGCCATTCTTGTTGTACAGCCTACAGAACTGTGAGCCAGATACATTTCTTTTCCTTATAAATTACCCAGCCTCAGACATTCCTTTATAGTAATGCAAAATGGATGAAGACAACCCTCTTTCCTACTTACTTTATATCCCAAATGGGAACCTTGCTAGAAGTTTTGATAAGAAACCTAAAGACTCATTATTTTAACTCATACTGTTGACCACTTATGATGCATAACATGTAAATATTCCTTGACTCTGAGATTATATCCATATATATCACACCTCATTGGAAAGATATGAAGACAATTATAATGGTTCAAAGGCATATCTCATTAAAACAGTTGTTTTAAAATGTGTGACATAAAACATGTCTCAGTAGCTGGCCCAGGAAAGGAGGACTTTCTGGCTGTGCATGCTCAGAAGCTGTGCATATGCTTGCTTGCTTCCTTCCTTCCTTCCTTCCTTCCTTTCTTTCTTTCTTTCCTTCTTTCTTTCTTTCTTTCTTCTTTTCTTTTCTTTCTTTCTTCTTTTTTTTTAAGACGGAGTTTCGCTCTTGTTACCCAGGCTGGAGTGCAATGGTGCGATCTTGGCTCACCGCAACCTCCGCCTCCTGGGTTCAAGCAGTTCTCCTGCCTCAGCCTCCCTGCATCTTTCTTTTATAGATTCTCATGAGTGCTGCTGCAGGAAAGGGCCTGAGAAACCATTTGGTTAAAGAAACTTATTTAGCAGTCTAATCCAATGTTTCCTCCAACTTACGTAACCATGGAAATCTTTCTC